TCTGTGTCGAGTCACCTAGCAAACAGATTTTGTTGAGCTTTATTCTTCATAATTTGTATTATTAGATCTATTGGCATCTGGTTTCCCAATATAAAATTATATGGAAAGATCCAATACGCCTGCTCAGACAACACAAACCACTTGTCTCTCATGAGCACATTCGGGATTGCTTCCAATGAAGGAAGATGATGCTTCTTGGATTGTGGTTACCCTTCCTGAGCAGTAAATGTGGCTCTGAGCTTCCTGGGAGCTAAGGCAACAAAGAACCCCGATGGTTTACACAGTTCTTATTTATCTGTTAAAAGCAAACATTAGTTCTGTAAGAGAAATGTGCTTTGCTTTCTTAGAAGACAGGCAGGCCAGAGATGAAAGCAGCCCCATGCCTGTCCCTTCCTCTCTGTCCAGCAGTGGCTGGGGAAGTGACTTGGATCAATGGTTGGTCGTAGAAGTGCTGCTTCCATGTTGTGGCCTGGATAGAACCCATGATCTCACGGGGTCTCAGCGAACACCTGAAAGTTAAGTTACGGTGCCTCCCCATGGGGAGTGGACCCTGGGGGAGGTTTGTGAAGGTGGGTGATGATGGACACAGCAGCATCTAGGGGTCAGCTGTACCAGGCCTACTCAGCAGAGGGTGAATGGGTCCCCAGGAAAACACCCTGAGCAGTCTGTGCTGGGAGAACAGACACCGGGTTGATATTGCAGCTCTGGTTCCAATGGGCCAGATGCCCAAATGGATAACCAACACTGGACCTCATCCAGAACCTTAGAGAATCTGCACAGGAATCCTGAATTCCCATACCCAGAAAGGAGACGGATGCAATGCCCTTGAGGAGCTTTACCTGTATGTATCCAAAGAGACACCGTTAACCCAGAAGTGGGGTCCAAACCAAAACCCCACTGTTGTTGAATGGATTTTGACTCATGTTAAGATAGAGAACTGCCGGTAGGGTTTCTAGGATTATAAACCTTAAGGAAGTAGATGGCTTCATCTTTCCTCATGGAAATGGTGGGTTCTAATCACCCACGCATACTCCAGGGCTCCTTAGAGTGATCCTTGCCTGATCAAATGTGATGAAGAAAGTCGAATCTGTGTGTCTGAGAGTAATATGAAACTTTCAAGCCCCTCTTGGCTTCTAATCCTTGGCTACATGGTGGCAGTGGGTGATGGTGTGCAGTTCAGTTGATACTGACTCATAGTGATCCTGTATAGGGTTGTCAAGACAGTAAATCTTTGTTGATGTTGCTCAGTGCCATTGAGGTGATTCCAACCCATAGTGACCCTGTAAAAGGTATCCAAGGAGTGACTGGTGAGTTTGAACTTCTGACCTTGTGGTTCAAACTGACCTTGAGATCCTTTATAGTATAGCATTACACCAGGACTCCGTAAAATAAACCCTAACTGGAGCAAAAAGACTCATCTTTCTCCCACGGAACAGTGGTAAATTTAAACTGCTGAATCTACCAATTAAAGAGTCAGCAGTTTGAAGAGTTTGCCGAACATTAGTGGCAGAGCTCTTAATCTACAACCGGATCAGTGTTCCTTTTGGTTACACAAGATGACCTGAAAAAATGTAGCATTCATTGGATTTTTGTGTTTAATTCAGATGAGCAGAAAAAATGTTTCTATGGATATTTTATCAGGAAAAACCAAGTTTGATGCCACCTTTGTGAAACTGTATTATTTTTTCTTTCTCAGTATACATGGAATCCTTTCCAGGCAGAAAAATTTTACTTTGTGCCTCTTCATCAACACAATTTTTTGTTGTTTTTCTGAAGTTGATTCTGAGACTTAAAATCTTTTGTCTTTTATGATCTGAGGACACATTTGAATCTGACATTCCTTTTTTTTTTTTACTCTTAAAAGATGATATTGATATCCCATCTCTAAACAACAGAGCAAAATTCTTTTAGATAAGAAGATGCTAAATTTATGTTTCAAAATGAACTAACTTTGCCATTTCTAACTCTGTGTTAATAGTAAAGAGAAGCCCTTCTTTAAAGGGCTCTCTAAATCTTGACAGTTTCCCTGAAGGGGCAGCTATAAGGATTAAAGAAGCATATTAAGTGCTCATCAGTAGCCTGCATCTACCTAAGGAGCCGTTAATTATCATTTGTACTGGTATTTGCGGCTGCTTTTGTGTTTTTGTTTTTTCATTTATTGTGTCTGTCAAAATTCTTATTGGAACACCTGAAACTGATGCGCAGTGATTTTGTTGAATACTGTGACATCTGTGCTTGAGGTCAAGCGTTCACCCTATGGCGCCACACCAGGACTGCACAAAAAATAAAAAGGCATTTATTCTGTAAATTAACTGAAATCCCATTATTTCAAAACAAAATATTTTCCCATTTATCTTAGTGTGTTCTTACTGAAAATGTTTAGATACAGCAACGAATATGATTCTTTTAAGAGGTTTAGATGACAAAACCTACTTTGCAACTTCTTTTTTAAAACACAGGATTGGAGTGTTTTAAAATGGTGAAATTCACAGGTTGGGACCAGTGGGCTGTCTTTTTTACAATACAGGGTGTCAAGATGAAATGAGAAAAAAAAAGTACCAGCTCTTAGGGTCGTTTTGGATGTTCTCAAAACAAAGAACATAGTACTTAGTAAATTAAATCCACAGAATGCATCAAAGTTGACTAAGTGATAGGAAAAACCAGCTGACTTTGTGGTTGGTGGTTGAAGAAGAGCCGTCGGTAATTCAGAGCCAAAGCGCACTTGTGGAAGAAAGAAAAGAAAATCTTTATAGTTATTATAATTTATGCCCAAGACTCTCAGGAAAAACAGCGTGGAGTTGGGTAGAGACCAGTTTATAACCAAGAACTAGCCTAGCCGCCATGATTTTGAGGCCGAACTGGCTGGAGACAGCGCAAGGAAATGTTTGTGGTTTATACGGGATCGCCAGAAGATGGAGACATCCGGGAGGCCACGTCTTCTCCCCCCCACCCCCCCGCCCGCCCCTCACCGATGAATCCATGAGGCAGGCCTGGTTTGGCGCGTGTTAAAACTGTGCTTGGGGCATCGCAATTCCATGAGGCAACGGGGGCAAAATGCCAGCCTAGCCTGCGTTGCCATCTCTAGAACGCAATCCATCGAGATTAAAAATCTTGAGTTGAAAATGCAATCACGTTGCCCTGCACACGTGCCAAAAATGGGTGCGCTTCGGCCAAAACGCAAAGCTCCCAGTGCGGGTGCAAGGTTTACTTTAAATTAAAATACATCGATAAAGACTCGGAGGTCTAGAGAGTAGAATTCGTAGAGATGCAAGAGTTGAGCGGTTTGGCGGACCTCTCCTCCAGCTCCAGCCCAGGTTTTAAGTTTCCTGCGCTCCGCAGGGTGTGGGCGCTCCTGGGTACGAAGGAGGCCACACCACGCGCTGCGTTTCAGGCACAGTAGTCCTGGCTGGACAGCAGACCCCTCCCCAAGCCTTTCCTTTTTACATCTCAATCCAGTGGTTACATCTCAATGTGGTATTCAAACAAATCAAGTCGGCTGGCTCGCTTCAACCAACGCTGGAGCTCTAGAACGCTGCGCCGACAACGGGGAAGCCAGAGGAGAGTTTAAAGGGACCTGGGGCACAAGGAGAAGGGCTCCCATCCGGCAGCCAACGCTCCCTTCGGGAAAGGCGCTCGGGTGCCGCGAGGTCCCGACCACGGAGTTGAGTCCAGTTTCGGTCAGGCGGATCGGCCTTTAGGCTCCGTGCCCACGCTCCAGACTTCGGGAGGCGTGGGGTGCGGGCTTCGTGGGGTGTTCGGGCCCCCAGACATCTGTGTGCCTCCTCTGCTAGGGCCGTATCTCCGGCCTAAGGAGAGGCGTAAAAACAGGCCCGCCAGTCCAGGTAACAGGAAGGAACGTTTTTGTTTTTTTTCCCAGGGTGTAAAAATGTTTTACTTGTTGTATGAAACACCGCCGCGCCGAGTCCCAGCACATTGGGGTCCCCTCCCCACACCCACGGCCGCCGTCACCCTTCGGGGCGGGCATGGGCTCAGGGGAGCGCAAGTGCCCCCAGTGGCCGGCCCGCGCCTGACCCCGAGGGCCAGGGAATGCAGAAGCGGCCGCGCGGGCCTGGAGGAAGTTGGAGCAGCGAGGCCGCGGAGGGGGCAGGTTGCGCCGCGAGTCCCGCCACCCTGGGGCACCGCACTCAGGCCTGCGGCCCTCCCACCCCCACGTGGCTGGTAGACGGAGGCCCCACGTGGAAGCCGAAGAGGATCCGGCAGCTGCAGGACCAGGACCCGGGCCGCCGGAACCTCCTCGCCTCCCGAGTGTGGCGGGCGGGGCCGCGACAGACTCGCCGGGGCGGGCCGGGGAATGTCGCCGCCCGGCCACTCGCGGCCGCTGCGTCCGCGTACACTTTCAGGGAGCCACTAATCCCCCGAGAGAGCCGATTTGTAGTGTGGAGCGGCTGCAGGGGGCGAGGCTGGCCCATGTGGGGTTGTGCCATTGGTTTGCAAAGAGAGACCCCGCCTTGCCCCATTAAAAAAAAAAAAAAAAAAAAATCAAAAAAAATAAAAAAAAAAAAGGAGGAGCGCTGGCGACCCTCACCTCGCCTCCCGCCCGGCTCTGCGCAGCGGCGGCTCGAGGCGCCGCCGGCCCGCTCCTTCCCCTTTCCTTTTCTCTGCCTCTCTTCTCCTTCCCGGAGGAGAAAACAAATAAAGCAGAGCAAATAGCCGCGAGGCGCCGGCGCCCTGACCCGCCTCCCCCGCTCAAGTTGGAAGAGCATCCTCCGGGGTGAGCGCAGCGCGGCGGCGCGGCCGGGACCCCCAGCGCAGCCCCCGCCCCGCGGGCGGCCCGGCAGACCCGGGTGGGAGCGGGTGGGCGGAGGCAGGGGTGGGGTGGGTGGGGAAGTAGGAAGAGGCTCGGCGGCGAGGGGCGGAGGAGGAAGGGGAGGGGAAGGAGGGTGGGAAGGGCGGCGGAGGGGGAGGGGCGTGAGCTGGAGAGATTAAGTTTTTGTGTGTGTGTCCCCGTGTGCGTGTGTCATTTTAAGGTGGCTCGGGAGCGGCCGAGGAGCGAGTGAGCGAGCCGGGAGCCATGCCGCGCTGAGGGGGGGCCGCACCACCGCCGCCACCGCCACCGCCGCCGGGTGGGGTGGGAGGGCGGGAGTCGCCGCCGCGCCGCCTCCCGGGTGGGCCCCCTTCGCTTGGACGCCGGAGGTCCGGGACGAGGTAAGAGGGTCCCAGGGGAGGGCCAGGCACCGCCGCCCCCACCTCGTACCTGTGCCCGGGGCTGGGGGCGCCGCGCCCGCGCCTCACTGCGCCACTCCGGGAGGAGGAGGGAGAAGGACGCGGGTCCGGCAACCGAGGACATCTTTGGTCTGCGACCCTGGCCCCCTCGGCACTGATGGTGGGCGCCGGCCCGGGAGGTGGGGGGGGGGGGTCCCCGTCGGCCGCCGCTGTGCGGATCGCGCTTGTGACCGCCTTTGCGCGAGGATTTTTGTTGTTGTGATGAGAGTTGATGAATGTGAAGTAGGCGGTCACCTTCCTTCCCATCAGGATTGGTAAAAAAAAAAAAAATAAAAAAGCCACCCCAGCGCCGCGGCGTCCGGGAGGACAGCGGCGGCGGCGGCTGCGTGTCGGCGATGGTTTCCTAGGCGCTCCGGCTCCGGCTTCCCGAGCCCGGTGGGTGCGCGCGCGGGGGCCGCCGGCGACCCGGGCCGAGCGCGAGGCGCGCCGCGGGGACAATACGACTGAATCCCCGGGGACCGGAGTCCGAGCGCCGGGGTGCTGCGGCCTGAGTCTTAGTGGGGGAGGTGGCGAGAGTGGGGGCCCTGCACGCAATCGAGGTGCGCGCGGGTCGGGGGCCCCCGGGCGCGGCCCCTGCCGGCATGAGAGCCTGCGCGGCGCCCCCGGAGCGCAGTAGAGGGACAGGGAAACAGGCGAAGTGGAGCCCTTTTGTTTTGCGGGCCCCGCATTGTTGGCTGATCCGGGCGACTGGGCCACATCTGCCGCCGCCGCCGCGTTGGGCCCGGCCCGCCAAAGTCGCGGCCGGTGAGCGACCTGACTGGGGCGGGCAGTGAGCGGGCGGGGGCGCCGGGCATTTCCTCCGCGGACCGCGCTTTCGCGGGCACACTTCCTCCTAGTCTCCCGCCACCGCCGCCGCCACCAGCCTAGTCCGCCCGCACCCCGCCCGGGCCGCACTTTTCGGGTGGGGCGAACAAAAAAGAAAGTTTCGGAGGAGGGGCTGGCGAGGGCGCGCCTCTGGTGGCAGCGACCCGGCGGGGCTCGGGGACAGTCGGGCCGCCGCGGTAACCGCTACAGCCTCTTCCTCGGCGCCGCAGGACGGACTGCGCGGCGGAGGAAGAGCCTTTCTTTCTCTGCCTACGGCCTGGGGCGATTCAAGGAGAGCCGCGAGAGTGGGACTCGCCGGGCCTTTCCCCAAGCTGGCGGCCCGCAGTGTGGCCGGACGCCCGCAGCTCACGCCGCGTCCTCGCTTCTGAGGCCATGGGCTCGGGAACTCTGCACGGTCACCGCGGGCCGTGCCAGCCAGACGCGCGCACACACACGTTCTCCCGGTTGCTTGCTTTCTGCGCGCAGAACGAGGGTCGGAGACACGGGAGTGCGCGCACCAGTGCGTGTGGTTATTAGCCCCGGAGTACTTTCTCCTAGGGCGGCCCAGGCGGTAGTTGGCTCCTGGAGCCGTCCACCTTTAGTATTTTGCAGGGAAAGAAGCGGTATCTCGTCGAAATGTCTGTTTGCTCTGTTGACTAGAGGTGCAGACAACTGGCCGAGGCCTACATCGTCCCTGCGGGGTCCCCGGGCCCTATCCGCGCTAAACAGACCTTTCTGGGTTTTTTTTTTTAAAGATCTGTTTAAGTTCTTGGAGAGTCAAATGTGAGTGGCTTGAAGGGTAGAGAAGTCTATAAATATGTATTGGGAATTTAAAATGCTAACTGCCTTATTTGCAATTCTGTTGGATATTCTAGAGATTGGTATATTTTTATCTGACACGGATAATTTTGAAGGGACGTCTATTTTGGAAAGTTTACAAAGTGATTCTTTCGACTTCCTAACTTCGGAAAAATACCTCCAACTCGTACTACTCTTTCCAAGGAGAGGGTCGCCCTTTCAGTTAGGTGTTTTTTGATTCAAATAGGTTTTTTTAAAATTACCTCATGTTCAGTATATAATAGTTGTTCTTCCTCTTGCTTTTCATACACTTCTGAGAATTCCAGTTTTTAAATCTTTTTTAAAATACATCTTTTATATATTGAAGTAATGAAAGTTTAAAAGGATAATGTTTGATTGTAAGTCTCTTGATTTCAAAGAGGACTTCTTAGAAAACAATGATAAAGTATATTCAAATTGCTAATGAAACAGCAACTTTCATATTGAAACAGGATTTCATTTTCTTCTTTCTTTTATTAAAGTAAAAACTAGGACTTTCTACCTTAGAGTTGAAACACTTGATATTCTTTTGTCAGACATCAGATCGCTGAGCTGCCCTGACACGTTAGTGTAAAAACCCCTAACTTGCCCTTTTTATTGGCCCCCAAAGAAAAGTAAATGAGATGATAGATTTCAAGCAAAAAAGCAGGCTTTTCCTTCTTGCAAAATGTGTGTACAGTTGCCATTGAAGTTGGACGTTCGCCGGGAATGCCCTTGCCTTTAATGGAACCAGTTTAATCGTTCACACTTGATCAAGTCTAACCTGACCAAACAAAGGAAATCAAACCGCATATTTCTGTAGCATTGAGGGGTTTAGTGAAAGTGTTGGTGTTGGGTCACCCCCTCCCCCCACCCTGTCCCAGCACTTGGGAGCCAGAATGAAAGGAAGGAAGGCAAAGGGAATTTATGGCAAGGATAGGTCCCTGGTCCCCAGAGTCTGAGGCCTCGCTTTCGTCCCTGTGGAAATCAATAATTAGCCGGAATTAAAACGTCTCAGGTTTGGGACATGTTTTGAACTTAACAGGGTGCTTTTGGTTGAATTCTTATTTCTGTTTGGAAAGACGAGCTAAAAGGGGTACGCTGATCCCACCACACCACCAACACCAATAAGGCACGGAGAGGGTGGTGTGGCTCAGCCATTGAGCACTTGTGAATGAGTTATTTATGATTTCCCTTGGGGTCTTTGAAACTATCCCTGAATGGGTGTTCTGGAGTGTGTGTGTGTGTGGGGGGGGGTGGAGGGCAGGATGAATTACCTTTCTTGAACTGTGATAGAAAAAAAAACAACAACAGAAAACAACCATTTATCCCTAAAAAAATGCATTTCCTTGGTAGGCTTGAGTTGCAAATAATATCTGGGGCTAAGTCATCAATCTAGTCATAGCCAGGGGTGATACATTTCTGCAGTGGCTCTCTTTATAAAGTTAAGGAAAAAAAAATAGTGTGGCTTCTTAAAAACAAACACTACTCCCATTGTAAGAAAAAAGCAGTGGCGTACTTAGTGAGATATTTTGGCCTTTCAAAATTCAGGGCACACCTGTTCCTGTCCCTGCTGAGGCCAGTTGGTTTCCCCTGGCATTGTTAATCTCTTCGTGTACACAAGATGAAGCAGTGTAACTTAGAATCTGTGTAATGATTAACTAGCCCATCAGTCTTACCCTTTCAGGGAATAATCAATAGCTTCACTCTTGACTTTATTTTTAAACTCCAAACAGAAATCCTCTTCATAAGAAGTCTGAGAAGTATGTTAAAGAGAGATGAAATAAACAAGTACAAAACAGAATTGCAAAACAAAGTGGCAACTTTTTCAGTGTTCTGAGTAGTAGCTAGCTTGTTGTTAAGTGCTGTCGAGTCGGTTCCGACCCATAGCGACCCTATATGAACCATAGCTAACTTATGGTTTAAACGACTTTGCAGTCTAGCGCATTAGCCCACAGTGCCACACTAGGAGTCTAGCTAGCTTACTAGCTTGGTAAATAAATGAGTGTATTATATGCGAAGGGACCTCATAAAGTTGGTGGCAGATTCCAGAGGATCTTTTCCATCCATTTTTTTTTTCATGACCTTGTTTAAAGCCCCCTTTCCACCCCATGTCCTGAACTAACAATACTTTGGACTTGAAATTAAGATTGTAGGGGAATACTGGAGTACAGGAAGCTTAGGATGGCTCCCACCATGTGGACATCCTTGGAAGTCACTGATGAAAATGAAAAGGACATCTTGCAGAAGGATACTGCTGAGAGCTAGCACCAGAATGCCAACAGTTTGTTCCTATCATGACTCATTTTTGATGGCAAGTTAAAACCTTTGCACTTAATGCCCTCCCTAAATGGAAAAATTATAAAGAGTTTACAGCAGCAGCAGAATGGTGACCCCAGTGGTCATTTTTTACCCCTGTCATTTCAGTGTACAGTGGCTGTTGTCTCTAATGTAGGTAAGTGCTACATGGGGGGCTTTCTTAATAATCTACCTATCTGTGCAAAGCAGCAGCCCAAGTGGCCCTTGCCCCTGATACATATGGGTCACCAAGAGATTTGGGGGAAGGGTGTCTTCAAGAAGCCTATGGAAAATTCCATTATCTTTTAATTCCATTTTTTTTCCCCCGCAGACTTTGAGGTCCCCTCATACATTGTCCACCCAGCACCTAGTAGGGAAGGGAAACATTTGGTTGGCAAGGCAACACCCAGGTACCTTTGTCCACAGTTGAGTTGGTGGTTCCCTTCTTGAGAGAAGGGGTCAACATTTTGATAATAATTCAATAAGGGGTATGCAGTATTACTTCACAGGAGTGACCGTATGTTGAAATCAGGGTGTCTTACTCCCCAAACCTTCCTGTCCACTGTTAGCTCAGGAATCTCTGTGCAGACTTTCACTGCTGAAAAACTTTTTGAGTCTGTGCATGAAAAACTCTGGAATGATCATATATACTCTCTGATTTCTGTACTGAGCAGATACCCGTTTTCTCTCTCACAGCAGGTGACTCTGTTCTAATTAACACAACTCCAGTTAAAAGTACCACACCCCAGGACAAAACAAGGCAGGCAGTCTCCCCTCTCCAAACACCCCTACCCTTTTCAAGTTAATTTTTATTTAAGTCTGTTTGATGGAATATGTATCAAAGACTTTTCAGAGGGTTTTATAAAAAAATCCAATCTCTTGGTTTGGAAAATTATATTTAATAATTGATAAAAAGTTCAGAATCATTTTTAAGGTGTTCAGTGTTTCTTTTGATCACAATCTAATGGATAATATCCCCAACCCTTCAGTGGGACTCTAATGAT